CTCCAGGGGTTAAGAGAACAGCACACACTTGAGGGGAGGACATGAGCCAATGCACTGTTGTTGCGTACCAATGAATCAGAACCGATGCATAGCTGACCGCCAAGAAGACCTTCAGAGGCAGTGTCTCACACGGGAGGAGAGTCCCCGTCTTTCTCCAGCACAGCAGCTTCTGAACTCAAATCACGTACCTTCTGGTTGGCAACACAGCTCCTTACCACCAGGCCACGAGAGCTCCCCAGTCCAATGCATAGCACGGGGTCTATCAGATTTTCCCACTAAAAGTGAACTTCTTTGTGATCAATCATCTCATGGAGGAAGGAGTTCTTGGTTTAAGGAAAAAGGTCCACATAAATATGGACCATATAGTGTACATACGTCTATATGTATGTCTGTCTGAACTCAGCTCTTTTCAGGCCGTAGATAACAGGCAGAGCAGATCTGTGACCCCTAAGAAAAGGGAAACCACTGACGTGGGCCTTCCCACCGCCTCAGCTCATTCCAGCCAGGCGGTGCCTGGAATTGTTGTGGAGAGGGAGAATTTAGAGAGAACCAACTGAGCTCTCTGAATTGAGAAATCAGTCTGAGGAGATTAAAAAAAAAACAACCAAAAATGCAAAACTTCAAAAGGATCTCCCTGTGAAGAAACAGCTGTAAAATTCCACTACTATCAAATCAGTGTAGAAAACTCAACATCCAGCAACACAAAACGCATTATGCTAGCATTTAACTAAAGATTAGTAGTTTAAAGAAGAAGCAGAAGAAGATGGCCCATAACCAGAAGAAAAATAAGCTAACAGAGGCGGACCCCAAATGACTGTGTTGTTGGGTGCCCTCGAGTTGAGTACGACTCACAGCGACCCTATGAATAACAGATACGAACCCTGTCCTATCCTGTGCCGTCCTCACCGTCTCCGACACCTTTAAGCCCATTGCTGCAGTCACTGAATCAATCCACCTCGCTGAGGGTCTTTCTCTCTTTTGCTGACCCTGCGCCTTTCCAAGCATGATGTCACTCTCCAAGAAATAACCATTCCTAGCAACATGCTCAAAATCTGAGAGACAAAGCTTTGTATCTTTGTCTCCAGGGAGCACACGACAGCACTCTGGCTGTGCTTTCTCTAAGACATACCTCTTCCTTTGGCAGCCTGCTGGATATTCAGTCTTCTTCTCCAACACCACTGCTCAAAGGCATCAATTCATCTTCTGTCATTTTTATCCGTAGCAGGTGACTTGGAAGACCATGGCCTGAATCAGACGCACTTTAGTCCTCAGAAATAACATTTGGAGAGGCCCCTGACTGCGGACTTTGCCAGTTCAATACATCTCCTGGTCTCCTGACTGCTGGTACCAAGGGTGTTGATTGTGGATCCAAGTAAGATGACATCCTTGACAATCTCAATCTTTTCTCCATAGCATTAGCATTCTGCAAGACAGCTGATTGGACCTGAACTCTTGAACAAGGTTAATGTCATGAAAGGCTATTCTAGGTTGGAGATGGTTCTGGATCCAAGACTGTTCTGGATCTAAGTTTGTTCTAGCTTCCAGAAGAAGTTTGTTCCAGAAGAATGTTCTGGAAAGAAACAGATCCTTAGTGGGATGTTCCTCTGTTCCTGTGCTGGAGCCTCAGGGTCAGTGGCCCATCACTCAGAAGCCTGGTGACCAGGCTGTTCTGTTTATGGCTTTAGCCCTGCTTCCTCTCGTGGGTCACGCGCATGCTGTCTCCCAGTTTGTAAAAAATGGCTATTTTGACATCATCTCCATGTCGTTGTTGCGTGGTTGGTTTGTTTATGTGCTTCCCAGTCAACCGTGCCGTATGGCAACCCTATGAGCAGCAGATCTGAGCCTTGCCCTCCATGGCCCCATCCCCACGGTCTCTGACCGCTCAGGCCCTTTGCTACGGTCACTGTGTTGATTGATTCTGTAGAGGATCTTTTTCTCTTTCTCTGATCCTCTATCTTTCCCACCACGATGTCTTTTTCCAAGGACTAGTGTGCCCCAACATTCCCTTGGGCAATCCTTCTCCATGCTGACCCTTAAATTGGCCATGAACTTGTCTTGCTCAAGGAGACAGCAGCAAAGGTGGCTTCAGCACAGATATGTGCACTGGGCTTACCCCTGTTCACACTGGCTCTGCTGGGAGGTGAGAGGTCATGCAGTCAGCTGTCAGCTAGCCCCTGACCAACAGAGGCATGAGTGAGCCACTGGCCATGAGCTGACCACAGATGTAGGACAGCCCTGGAGGGGTCACTCAGGCTGCCCTAGACTGGAAGACCCAGCTGGACCCAGTAGTTCATACAGCAAGTAACAGCAGTTGTTGCTTTAAGCTGCTAGGTATGGGGTGTTTTATGCAGCAATACCAACTGATACACCCACATGGGTGGTGGATAAGAAAGTTGGGGTGTTCTCTGACTGCTTATGGAGAACCCCCAGGGGTGGGAGCTGGGGGGTGAGCTGAGCCCCTCACAGGGAAGGCTAGAAGGCTTCTGATAACCCTTCAGTGGGTAGAGGGCAAAAAATGCAGAGTTTACTGATGGTTGGACTTAAAGGGCTAAAGGGAGGTGACTGTCTACACAATTAGATGGATGACAGTGTTAACCTGGAGGTGGAGAGACTAGAGAGACCGAGCTTGGTTTGGGAAAGAATAGAGAAGGAGAGAAATAAGAAACTAATTATCTTATTAGTTTCAACAAGAAAGTAATTTCACTGTGTCTGCTAGGTGTTGGAGGGGACAGGAAGTGTGGCTGGGCTGCTGGGACTCTGGGCAGACATCTGGGAGGGTTCATGGGGCCTCCTTTTCGTTGCACCGAGAGGAGGAAGCTCCCTGAGAAGCCACGGGCTCAGAGGAAGTGAGCTGACTGCCCGCCCACAGCCAGCACTTATGTGGCCCCTGTGATCTGTGGGGACCTGGGACCTGCTTCTATCTGGACCCCAGGACCACTGCCTGAGTGACTGTGGTCTTTGTTTCTTCCCTCAGAAGAGCATCCCGGTGAGTCCTCCTGACTGGTAGCTGCTTGGAGCTCGGCTGCTGGAACTTTCTGTCCGAGATGCTGGGAGTCAGGGAGCCCTTCCCACTCGCCCTGTGAAAACTGAGGCAGAGAGAAAGGGCAGTGCTCCTGACGCTGCACAAAGGCCGAGTGGAACCTCAAATCTCAGCACTCCTCGCCATCAGGTCCAGCACGGAGGCTGCTAACCTCCCAGCCCCGCAACATTTGAGGGTGAGGAGAGGGCCCAGACAGGAGGACAAGGTGTCCTTCTCACACTGCAGTGCGGGGTCCTTTGCTCCATTTCCTTTGCCATGTCCCTGGGGCTTCATGCACTTCAGGGGAAGGATGTCACCCCCAGATTTAGTGAAGACCCAGAGGCACAGAGGATCTAGCCTGACCTCTGACAGCTGGAGGCAGCTCCCAGCCTGTTCCTGGCCTTCCCCTTGTGAAGATGGCTCAGGATGGGGTGGGGATAGCCCCAAATCACACAGTCAGAGAGAGGGGTGCTGGTGGGGTCCCAAGGGGCATGGCCCAGGCGAGGTATCACTCTCCAGCCATAGATCCCTGTGTCCACCAACTGGGAGGCTTGGCTAGAGAGGCCATGGCTGGCACTGGAGGCTGTGTTTTCCCCACCCCTTTTTGTGGGTGGGGTGGAGCTATAGGGGCGCCCCCAGACTGGTGCTAGTCTGCAGTGTGGGGTGGGGTGAGGGGTGGCTCTGACACCATCGGTGCTTTCACAGCTGGGAGGGGCCCCGGAAGGGCTTGTGCTTTGAAAGGGGCTTTGCCGTCACCCTCAAATGCCTGTTGGGGTCTGCACAGGCTGGGGGCGGGCTGAGAGGAAGTAGGCTGGGCCCAGGACTAAGGCGGAAAGGAAGTGGCCCCAACGGCAGGCGATGTGAGCCCGCCCCGCCCCCAAGGTGCAGCCCTGTAGTAACGTGGGAGGAAGAAGGGTTATCACGCTCTGTCTGCAGTGGCCACACCATGGGCCCAGGCAGAGCAGAAGGTTCTGGAAGCAGGGATGGGTTGGGTTGCTGTACAGCAGATTCCAGAGCTCTGGCCAAGCAGTGAGGTGGATGAGGCACCCTGTTTTAGAGCGTGAACCCCAAGAGTCCCCTCAACCCCCCCCTGACGGGGGCGGGGCAGTGTGCCTCATTTAAAGGCAGGATTGGAGAGCGTCAGGGAATGAGGGCTGGGTCAGGCGTCAACCTCTGAGCACGGAGCACACGCAGTCAGAGGACTCTGGCTCTGTCAGCCCATCCAGGGGCTGCAGGTGCCCCCAGCGCCTACCTGTCTCCCTCAGGACCCCGGTTCTTATGGCAGATGTCACTATTCCTTACTGTTTTCACTTCCAGAAGCCCCCCACCAGGCCCAGGGGACCCCCAGGCAGTCCCAAGGATGCTCCAGGGAGGGTTCACCTTACTCCTTTGTCCCTCCTGACCTGAAGTGGGTCCCTGTCCCTTATTCAACAATCTCCTGCCTCCAGGGCTGGAACCAGTCAGATACACACATGGGGAGGGGGCTTCTGGGAGGATGACTCAGCTGCCCCTGCTCCCCCAGGCCCACAAAGGAGGCTGGTCCCTGGGAGAGGGGCGACTCGCAGCGTGACCTCTGGCCCCTCCCAGGTGCTTCCTCTCCAGATCTGGGCTCCACGATGTTGCCTCAGCCACTCTCAGCCCCTGCGTCTCCCCAGCACCTGTAGCCCACATGGACCCCAAGCCCCTTGTCCTTCTCTGGGCATGGCCTTGATCCCTGAGACATTCCTTTCTTCTGTCTTTCTCCAAGGCTACCCTACCCTTCAGGATTCTGCACCAGGCTGTCTTAGTCTGGAAGGTCCACTGGAATTCTGTCCACCACCGTTGGCTACCCCAACCCCCTGACCCATGACCTGTCCGCTCAGGACCTGCTCAGCCCTCACTCGTGCCTCCTGGGCTGGGACAGGACGAGGATATGCAGTGCTTTCAGACAATGACCCTCAATGACCCTCTGCCCCTACATCCGCAGAACAGCCAGCAGAAGATGGAGTCAGACCCCCTGTACAACCTGCTACACCACCCAAAGGAGGTGGAGCCACCCGCCATAGAGGACCTCCCCCAGGGTGAAGTACAACGCCCCGGCCCGGGGAGAGGCTGAGGGTGGGGTCTATCTTCTCCAGGATTGATAAACCTGCAAGAAGGGAATGAGGGTGGGGTCTGCCTCCTCCAGGATGTGATGGACCAATGAGGAGGGGATGAGGGTGGGATCCGCCTCCTCCAGGATGTGATAGACCAATGAGGAGGGGGTGAGGGTGGGGTCTGCCTCCTGGTGGGGTCCGCCTCCTCCAGGATGTGATGGATCCTTGGGGAGGGGATGAGGGTGAGGTGCCCCAGGGTCAGGGTGCCATGATCCCACATCCACCATGGAGGATCTTCCCCAAGGTCCAATGCTCATCCCCCACCTCACCCCTAGCCATAGAGGGTCTCCCCCAGAATGTAGGACTGAAAGTGATCTCTCCCTCGCCCAGGGGGCCATGCTCCCCCCACTGTGGAGTCTCCCTCTGGGTGTGATGCCCTTTCCAAAAAGGGCCTAAGAGTGGGGTGTACCTCACCCAGGGTGGAATGCTCTCGGAAGAGGGGCTGAAGGTGAGGTTTGCTTGGTAGAACTGTGTGTGACTTTCACGATGGTTAGTGGGGACCCCAACTCTCTTTACACCTACCTTTGTCTTCCGCTCTGTGCCTGCCCTGCGCTCCAGCTCCCAGAAGCTTCCACAGGGCTGTCTGTGCTCATGTACTTCATGAACTCAGCTCCAGGTGAATGATGCTGTTGTAACTGTTGCTAAAATGACTTTGTGACAGTTGTGTGCCAGTCCTGAGTACTTCTTTGTTAAAAAAAATTATTGAGATTTAAGTGAAAGTTTACAAAGCAAACTGGTGTTCCATCTGACTGGTCATATCTATTCTTTTATGACATTGTTTACAAATCCCACAGTGTAATAATTCTCTTCCCCATCCCTCGCTGTGGTTCTCATTTCCATGAATCCTAACAAGTCCCTTCCGGCCTCTGCACTTGACTCCTGGGCAGAGGCTACACTTTTGATCTTACATGGCTGGTTATTCTAAGGAGCGAGTGCCTTCCTGCCGTTACTTTCACATAAGCAGTTAATTGTGCAAAAATTGAGCCACAGGGATAAATTTTGCTGCAGGTTCAAAGGGTGACAAAAGGTCTTGTTTTTATGTTTTTGATCATTTTACAAATTTGACCATTTTTATGTTTTTTTGTTCCACATTCTTCTTCCACTCCAGCCAAAACCTTCACTTGTGATTCCTTTTAGAGTGGTGGTGGGGCACCATCTAGTTGTTACGGTCTCAGTTTTCCACTTTTTATTATAATTTGAGGGAAAGCATACAAAGCAAATGGGTTTTTCATTCAACAATTTGTACAGATTATGGTTCATGACGTCGATTACAACCAACACATTGTAACCGCACTCTTCCCACTTCCTCTCTGTGATACCCATCTCCATTCGTCCTTCCATCTGTCCCTTCCTGCCTTATGAGCTCTTCTCTGCCCTAGTGCTCCCCCTCTGCTCATGCGTGGTTGATGGGTTGTTCCTAAGCACTTCTTGCAAACAGCATCTCCTTTATCCCTCTCAGATGTTGTTAGTCGCTATTAAGTTGGCTGGAGGCCCCGTGGACAATGGGGTGAAACATTGCCATCTTCCTGGCTGTGGCTAGGTAAACTCAAGCCCACTGTTGCAGTGAGTGTGTCTTTTGAAAGCCTTCATTTTTGAGCACTGTTTCAGACAGTGCTCCGTTGTGGTCCCGAGGATTTCCACCGGCAGACTTTGGGAAGGGGATTGTCAGGCCTTTCTTCCTAGTCTGTCATAGTCTGGATGTTCTGATGAAAACTACCCACCATGGGAGATCTCGCTTGTATTTGCAATACTGGTGGCACAGCGTCCAGTATCACAGCAACAGGCAGTCCCCTTAGGCTGACAGATGGGTGGTAGAGTGTGGATGTTATTTCTACCTTTATGCAGACAAGGAGCCTGAGACACAGAGCATGAGGTAACAGAGTGGCAGAAGGTAGAGCTGGGATTCTGAAACCAAAGAGTATAGATGGCTCCAGAGTTTAGGCTCTCAACTCAATTCCCCTGTGATCTCCAGAGTTAGACCCTAAGCAAGGGACCCGCACATGCCCTTGGTGCCGGGTAGGGGCCCTGCAGGGACCCTGCTCATGGACCCTGTGCCCTCCAATTCCAGGAGGAAAGAAGAAATACTTGCCACCTGCCTCCCGGAAGGACCCCAAGTTTGAAGAGCTGCAAAAGGTATGGGTGCCTTCACCAGACCCTAAATTCCCTGGACATAGTCTTCTCGTGGGCAGATGGGCATTCCCCACTAGGGTCCCAGAGACAGTGGGGAGTCCTGCCCCAGCCTGGCCCTGGGATGAGACCTGGTGAACGGTTGTCAGGACAAATATGTTTTGAGCACTGACTGTGTGCACGTTCCCATGGAGGTTCCAGCCGGGAGGAGGGATCTGTGTTCACAGTGCGACAGCCCTGAGGAAGGGGTCAGGGAGGGCTTCCTGCAGGAAGCGACATGGCAGATGGGGGGGGTGTGGGGAGCGCACTGCGGGCAGAGGGGCCCTGGCTGCCTGTGAAGGGTCCACTGTGTGGCCTGCAGGTGCTGACCGAGTGGATCAACACCACGCTTCTTCAGGAGCACATCGTGGTGCGCAGCCTGGAGGAGGACCTGTTTGACGGGCTCATCCTGCATCACCTCTTCCGTGAGCGACCCGCCCCTCCCGGCCCTCAGCCGACACAGGGCAGCTTGTCCTGGACCAAACCCTGTGCTCCCACCTCAGACCTTCCCCAGGGTCTGTTCCTCTTCCTGGAGAGCTGCCATTTCCCAGCTGTGCTCCACACTCCTCCTCCACCTCCTGTTCCTCCTCTTCTTCCCCTTCTCCTCTCCTCCACTCCTCTTCCTCCCCTACCCCCTTCTCAACTCTCCCCGCCTCCCCTCTCCCTCTCCTTCTCCTACCCTTCTCCCCTCTCCTCCACCTCCTCCTCCTCCCCTTCTCCCCTTCTTCCCTCCCTCCTCCTTTCACTCTCCTCTTCTCTCTTCTCCTCCTCTTGACCTTTCTATTTCCTCCTTCTCGCCTCCTCCTCTCTTGCCTCCTTCCCTTCTCCTTTTCCTCTTTACTTCCTCCTCACCTCTCCCTCTTCTTCCTCCTTGTTTCCTCTTGCTCGCTTCCTCTGCTTCCTCATCTCCTCTGTCTTTATTTCCCCTCCTCTCCCTCACTTCTTCCTCTTTCCCTCCTCCTCACCTCCTCTCTCATCCTCTTGTCTCTTCCCCATCACCTGCTCCTCTCTCTCACCTCCTTCCTGACCCTCCTCAGTTCTCCCTGGAAGGGCTCCTCGTCCGTGGCTCACACCCAGCTCTCTCAGCGTCTTCTTAAGACTAGATCTGACCATGAGTACCTGCTTTGGTACCGTATGGAAGTGCACGCGTGCCAGGCCTGGGCTTTCCCTCCACCACCCCAGGGCAGTGCCACTTTCCTACCCTCCAGAGCAGAACCGAGGCTGCAGGGTGGAGGCTGCAAGGTGAAGGCTGCAGGGGGGGCATGCAACAGCCTATGACCAAGGTGGTCAGGCCTGAGACCAGAACCCAGGCCTGAGCTCTAGGCCAGTGCCATTTCCCTGAAGCCAGTGTTCTTCCTGGCCCTCATGGTGCCCAAAGTCCCTTGCCCTCAGGTCCCCAGGCCCAGGCCATTGGCCCCTCTTCTGTGACCCTGAGGCCTCATTTCTCTTCTTTCCCTGAGGATGGAAGTGTCCCAGGGAGCTGGCAGGCATGTTCAGTTAAGGCTGGTGATGCTGGGCACCAGGAAGGGTTTTCTTCTAAAAGGACCTGCCAGTCCAGCCTCCTGGAGAAGTCAGCTGGCCCTAGGTCCACAGGATGTCCCCTGTGGTCCCGTCCTGGTCACCTCACCACCGTCTCCTGCCCTCAGAGAAGCTGGCATCGCTCCGGCTGGAGGTGGAGGAGATTGCCTTGACAGCCACCAGCCAGAGACGCAAGCTCGCAGTGGTGCTGGAGGCCGCCAACCAGAGCTTGCAGGTGCAGGAGCCCCAGGTCCCCTGGAGCGTGGAGAGTGAGTGCTGGGCCCCATCCAGGTGGTGCGCAGGGGGTGGAGGGGCAGGGGTCCCATCCTCTTGTTCCTGACTTCCAGAAGGTACACTCTCCTGGTGTGGAGGAGGCAGCGGGCCAGACAGCCGGTGGAGCAAACACTCAAGTGCACAGCCAGGCACGTTCATAGTCTATGGTGCAGCGCCCACGGCTCTGTGAACAAGGACAGCCACTGTGTACAGAGATCCAGGGCCAGGACACGCCCACCAGTCATGCGTGATGGACACAAACTCTCCCATTAATTTAAATGACATCTGGCGTGTCTGGGGAACGTCTGTAGCCTAGACAGTAAGAAGTTGCGTAGGCAGCCCAAAGGCGGGCGATTCGAATCCATCCACTGCTCTCTGAGAGAAGGACAGGCGACCTCTGCCTTTGAGATTTACAGCCTCTGAAAATCCACCGGAGGCTCAGCTATGAGCTGGTTCTGACTCAACAGCAATGAGGAGGAGGGAGAGATGTCTGCTTGTAAACAGATGGTCCTTCCCTATCCCTCCCTGTGCAACAGAATTGGGCAAATCTGTTGCAAAGACTTCTTTAAAGAGCAAAATTGTCACCTTGAGGACTAAGGTGTGCCTGACCCAAGTCATAGTGTTTTCCGTTGCCTCATATACATGTGAAACTTGTGCAACGATTAAGGAAGACTGAAGAATCACGTCGGTGAGTTGTAGCTTGGTGAAGAATATTAACTATGTCGTGGATTCCCAGGGCAATGAGCTCATCTGTCTTGGAAAAAGTGCGGCCAGGAGGTTCCTCAGATGTGAAGACAGGGAAGTTTTTTTATCTCACACACTGGACCTGTTATCAGGTCCCTGGAGAAGGACATTGTGCTTGGTAAATAAGGGAGTCAATAACAACAAAAAGAAGACATTCAGCGAGTTGGATTAACACGGTGGCAACAACAATGGCGCAAACGTGGCGACTGTGGAGTGGGAGGAAAATGAAGGACTGAGTGGTGTGTGCTCCGTTGCACTTGGAGTTGCTATGAATTGGAACTGACCGGATGGCACATAACAACAGCAGAATGTCCTTTCGTCTCTCTGCCTCTGCCCCATTTTCAGGATGAGAAAACTGAGACTGAAAGGCGTCAGGTAGCTTTGCCAGGTGGGGCGGTGAAGATGGGCCAGAGGCAGCTTTCCGACTCAGCCTCAGTTTTGTCACAAGACATTGTCTTGACCAGTAAGTCTCGGGCTCAGGGTCTGGTGTTGATGGTGAGAACCGAGCCCACTGCTGAGGGGTGCGTGCGGCAGGACACAGCGGGACTGCCCTGGAAGGGTTCCAAGGCTGGAGATCGTTAAGGAAGAAGGAAGCTGACTGCCTCATCTTCCTCCATGGAGCAGCGGGTGGCTTTGAACAGTTAACTTGTTGGTTGGCAGCCATATGCTTTAGCCACAGCTCCACTAGGCAGGCATCCCTGGTACCTTTAACTGCAATCTGGAATTATACCGGAGTCCATCAGTGCTCTGCTGGGGGACACTCGGTGCTCTATGATGTTAAAGGATCCTGTGATGGACAGTTTGGTGACTAAAGCCCTGACCACATAGTCTCCTTGGTCTGCTTTGCAGAAGCAGCAGGTGCCGGGGCAGAGGGGGCCTGTCGGAGGTTCTGAATGTGTATCTCAGCACTCTGCGTTTCAGAGGGGTGGACGCAGACCTCCTTGTCTGCAAGGTTGTTCAGACAACATGGGCCCCTCCGTTCGGCACCTAGTTTCCTTCTCCCTGGGTTCTGACCTTGTCGCCCCCTCTCCCTGCTCAGCCATCTTCAACAAGGACCTGCTGGCCACTCTGCACCTCCTCGTGGCCCTGGCCAAGCACTTCCGGCCCAGCCTGCCCCTTCCCGCCAACGTCCAGGTGGAGGTGATCACCATCGAGGTGAGGACCCAGCCTGAGGGGCCCACCTGCACAGGCTGAGCCCTGGGGTCAATGCTCTGGTTTGGGGGTGCTGTGTGGGAGGGAGCGGGGGCTGCGTGTCATGCCCTACAAGGACAGCAGTGGGGGGCTGAGCTGGAGCTGGAGGCGGAAGCTTCCCAGAGTCAGCTGGGGGACCCTGACTCGGGGGGGGGGGGCCTTGAAGAGGTCCAGGAGCTACCTCTGCCTCATCTGCCCAGCAGGGATGGGGCTGGGCTTTCAGGAAGACCTAATGGTCCCCACAGGACTCACATCACATGGGCCGCTGACCACTGAGACTACCCATCGCCCTCACTACAGCACAGGGTCCCTCCCTCCCAGGGGTGGGCCTGATGAGATGTCTGGTGCCTCTCTTCGCCTCTTTTGGCATCTCTACCGCCCAGGATCCTCCCTTCCTCTATCCCTCCCTCTCTCCCACTCTAATGCCCCAGGAAGCCCCATCATTCTCTCTAGACAGGACCCACCAGCGTCCACTCCCCACAATCTGTCTCCCACCTCTCAGCACCCGGTCATCAGATCCTTCTTTCTATCTCTAAGGATTGACCTTTGACCTGCCTCACAGAATAAGCCAAATGACTCAGTCCAGCTCATTTTTATTGCTTTCAAAGGCTTGAGTTAAATTTTCCTTGGAGCTGCTTCCCGGTGGGTGCTGTTCATGCATCTGTGCAAACCAGAGTGAGCTTTGTTCATTGGGACATTCATTCATTCATTCAAATCAGCGCCTCTCAACTGACCCCCACTGTGAGCTGTGCAGGGTGCTGTGGGGACCAGGCAGGTGACCCCTGCCCTCTTGGGGCTCTGGGCTCATGGAGAAAGAGGACAATTAAGCAGTGATAGCGTTACCCTGCGCTGAGATGTGGAGAGATGGAACAAACGGGCTCCCTGGATTCAGGGTCACTTGCCTTGTCCACTATGGTCATCTTAAAGGCAGCGGTCATACTTTTTCTGGACCACTGAGGTCTCTCCTCTGTCTTACTTAGAGCACCAAGAATGGCCTGAAGTCGGAAAAATCGGTGGAACAGCTCACCACGTGCAGGTAAGAGAAGGGCAGTGATGCAGGGCTGTGGTCCTGTGCCCGGAGGGGCAGGGCTTGGCTGTGGTCCTTCAGGGAGGTGGACAGGGCAGGTCTGCCAGCCTAAGCTTCTTGAGGGGGTGTCCTCCCACTCTGTGGCTTCCTCTCAGGCTCACTTTGCACACTCCATCTTGTATAGCACAACCCTGGGCAAAGTGCCGGCGAGGGGGCAGCTGGTGGGCGTGACAGAAGACTTCTCACGCTGTTAAGAGCCACTGAGTTGAGTATGACCCACAGTGACCCTGTGAACAACAGGTCTGAATGCTGTCCTGTCCTGTGCCATCCTCACAGTCTGTGTCACACTCAAGCTCAGTGCTGCAGTCACTGTGTCACCTCACCTGGTTGAGGGTCTTCTGCTCCTTCGCTGACCCTCCACCTTCCCAAGCACGATGTCCTTGTCCAGTGAACAACCCCTCCTAGTATAGTGCCCAGGTCCGTGTGATGAAGCTTCCTCATCTGTCCTCCAGGGAACTCTCTGGCTGCACCCTTTCCAAGAGATACCTGTTTGTTCTTTGGTCAGTTCACGGGCCGGTCAGTGCTCTTCTCCAGCACCACAGCTCATAGGCACAGGTTCTTTTTCTGTCCTCTGCAGTCCTTGGCCAGCAGCTAGTTGCTCAGACTCCTTGCTGCTGTGTACCGTAGAGTCGGAACCGACCTATAGTTGACCCTTCAGCGGGTTTTCAGAGGCAGTTAATCTCATGGAAGTAGATTGCCCATCCTTCTCCTGCAGAACAGCTAGATGGTGGCCTCGAACCAAGTGCCTTCGGGATTGCAGTGCAGCTTCTTGCCATTAGGCCACCAGAGCTCTCACTCCTTACTGACTGACTCCTTAGACCACTGCTATTGTCTAGCAAGTGTCACCACATTGGAGTGGCTCAAATCAACAGTGGGTGCCAGCTCTGGTGGCCTCGTGGCAAGAAGCTGCACTGCAATCCCAGAGGTGCACGGTTCGAATCCACCAGATGGCGAAGGAAGGACAATCTACTCCTGTGCCAGTCAGATCTGATTTGATGGTACACACACAAAAAAGAAAAGAAAAAATCAACAGTGGGCGTTTCTTCTCTGTGAAGGACACGCATCAGGAAGAGACACCACATGTGGCGAAGTGGAAGGCAGTGAAGGAGCGGAAGACCCACAGTGAAAGGAGTTGAGGCAGTGGCTTTAACGGGGGCCTCATGTACAGCAGAAGCTGTGGGGCCCGCGCAGGGCCAGGCGAGCTTTGCTCCATTCTGCATGGGGGCCACTCTGAGTCCAAGCTGATGTGACAGCGCTTAACCACAGAGGACATGCCGCTGGGCGAGAAGGCCATTCCTTGGAAAGGGACGTCACACTTGGCAACGTGGAGGGTCAGTGAAGGAGAGGCAGGCCTCCAATGAGATGGATTGGGGCGGAGACTGCAGCAATGGGCTCTGGTGTCACCGAGGTGATGAGGTGGGCACAGGGTCGGACGGGATTCAGGTCTGTTGTTCATAGGATTGCTACGGGGCATGCTGGACTCAGTGGCACCTAACAACAACAACACCACCAACAACAACATGAGAAGTAAGACTTCCTCCTTGATCCACAACCTATACCCTTGATACCAGGAGTTAGGAGATCAGGAAATGTATTGCACCGGGCAAGTCTGCAGTCAGGAATCTCTCCAAATTACCGAGGAGCAAAGAGGACTCAGGTGCACCTGATTCAGTTCATGGTCTTTTCAAACACCTGCTGTGCATCTGGGAGCTGGACAGTGAATAAGGATGATGGAAGAAACATTGATGCCTTTGAGCTGTTGGAGAAGAGTACCGAACGGTCAAGAGAACAAACAGACATGTCTTGGAGAAGGTGCAGCCAGAGTGCTCCTGGGAGGCGAGGATGACAAGCCTTCATCTCACACACACTGGGCACCTTACTAGGAAAGACTACACCTTGGAGAGGGAACGCGTGCTTGGGAAGGTGAAGGGTCAGTGAGAGAGAGGAGACCCTCCACCAGAGGCATTGACACAGTGACTGCAGCAATGAGCTCGAGTGTGTCAGAGCTGTGTGGACAGCACAGGACAGGACTCGGGTCAATCTATTGCTCGCAGGATTGCTGTGAGTCATAGTCAACTCGGCGACACCCAACGACAGCAGCAACAGCATCAGTGTACACAGTATGAAGGACTTCCGGTGGCACAATTGGGCTGCAAACCGTCGGCAGTTTGAATCTACCACCTGTTTACACAGGCAGTTTGTGCATGAAATTTTGCAACCTCAGAAACTGGCAGAAGGTCGTCATGGGTGAAAACTACTGTACAGGCGTGGGGTTGGTTTTATAGATAGTACGTTGTGGAAAGCCACAAGCGCCCGAGCATTCCATCCTAGCCTCTCTTTCCAAAGCCAGAGGCCCCTCCGTAGGGTCGCTATGAGTCGCCTATGACTTGACAACACTTAACAACAATAACACCAACATAGAGAGAGATCAGTTGGCCTACTGGAGAGAAAGTGACGCCACCAAGACAAAGGTAGGTGACTTAAACCCCACGGCCCTCAGGCCTGTTTTTCATTGTTTTTGGTCAAACATTCTTCTAGGTCGTACAGCCCTGGTGTGTCCACTTGCCGTGCAGCGGTAACTTGTGGTCATTGTGAAGCTGAACACTGTGACACTGATGTGTCAAATGCGTTAATGGTTACTCAATGCAGACAGTGTGGGCTGGAGATCCCCGATTAAAACAAGATTGGAAGCTGGAGTGGCATCCACTTCCGATATAGCTTGCCCCTGGAAACCCTATGAACCTGGAGAGAGGATGAAAGTCACACAAGTGTTGAGGACTTTCTTTCATAGGGTCTCTATGAGTCGCTTATGACTCAACAGCACTTAACAACAGTAACAACATGTTGTGGTTGTGTACCGTAGAGTCAGAACTGACCCAGGGCTGACCCTCTGGCGGGTTTTCAGAGGCAGGAAATGGCACAGGAGGAGATCGCCCATCCTTCTCCAGCGGAGCAGCTGGTGGCCTGAAGCTGATGCCTTCGGGATTGCAGCGCAGCTTCTTGCCACTAGGCCACCAGAGCTCCCTGTAGCTAAAATACCCTCCCACCTCTGGTAAAACTAAGCAAGCAATAGGAAAACCAGCCGAGTGGAAGCATTGCGAGGTGTGGGGCCCCAGGGAAGGACGGGGCCGCCTTCAGCCCTCGCTGTGTCTTGCTCTTTTCTTTTCCCCACGGGGGCCGTGACTGGGTACAAAGCCATGGCAATAAAATAAGTGGGTCAATTTCTTCTCAACCTTGCCAGCGCTGGGTCTTGTCTTGTTAAGGAATTAGGAGGCTGCAGGGTTTTTAACGATCTGTTTGCTGTTTCTCTACCTCTTCCCCTGCAGCACGGACAAGGATCAGCCCACAGGTGAGTGTCTTCACAATATCAGGAATTGTTTTCCGTCTGAGATGTGTGGCCATTGACCTGCCTCGGCTGAGGATTGGTTCCTGGGCATTCTCTGAAATGTCCCTGACGTGCTGCTATTTGTGTCCCAAGCCTTGCCCACAGCTCTTTGTCCCTGGGTCTGGCTGTTCCTTTTTCTGGTACTGCCCATGCTAGCAGAGAGATTCTGAGTCCCCTCTCTTGGTCATGAGGGGAGGGCTTGCTAAAGGCACACAGGCTCTGGAGCCAGCCGCTCAGGGGTCACGCCCCGCCCAGATCTCCCTCATTAGTCATGTGTGTTTGAGCGAGTGTCTTAACCAGTCCTGGTCTCAGTTTCTTCATCTGTAAAATGGAATTAAGGTTCATACTCACCTCAGGATGGTGGTAAGAGCTGAAGCGGGTCATTAGCCCTCGTGGTTAGCACACAGTGAGTACGTGGGGGAGGGGAGTGTTCAGTCTCTGCACTGTTGTTACTGTGATTAAGCTCTTCATCAATCAATCCACTGATCCAAGCATTACTGCTTTCATCCATGCATTCCTTATTAAGGGCCTTGCTAGTGGTTGGTCCATGCGTGCATCCACCCACCCAGCACCCTTCCTCACATCCATCCATTCATTCATCCCGACATTCTAACATCCATCCACCGTAACATCCCAACTAACATTCCAACATCTCTCCTTACATTCCTTTATTAACCTATCCTGACATTCTAACATTCATCCTCCTAACATTCCTTCTAACATCCATCCATCCATCCATCCATCCATCCACCCATCCACCCATCCACCCATCCACCCATCCATCCATCCATCCACCCATCCACCCATCCATCCATCCACCCATCCATCCTAACATACACATATCCATCCACCCATCCAAACGTATACACATACATAAATTTATCCAGCATCCATCCATTCTAACACATGCACATACATCATTTAGCCATCCATCCAGCCACTTATCCATCCATCTGTCCATCCATTCATCCATCAATATATCCATCCACCCACCCACTCATCTCTCTCTCTCTCTCTCTCTCTCTATCTCTATCTCCCTACCTATCATCATCTGACTTTCTGTCTGTGTCCATCCATCCACCCTTCCATCCATCCATCCATCCATCCATCCATCCATCCATCCATCCATCCTAATGTATCTCTTCCTGACCCCTTTCCTCCCTGCACCCTCCTCCTCTAGGATACAGGGCTCCATGGATGGGGGGTGGGGCTAGGAACACCAGGACATACAAGTTGTGTCCTGCCACCTGTCAGGGCCTTCTGAGAACAGGGGCTGAGATAGGCTGAGCAGGGAGGGGAAAGAGAGCTAGGTGCAGGGAGGGCCAGACAGGTAGAGCGAGGTACAGGGAGGTCCAGACAGGTAGAGCAAGGTGCAGGGAGGGCTGGACAGGTAGAGCAAGGTGCAGGGAGGGCTGGACAGGTACAGTGAGGTTCAGGGAGGATCGGACAGGTAGAGCGAGGTGCAGGGAGGGCTGGATGGGTGTTTGTGTGGGAGCAGTGAGGGGACACGAGGAGAGGTGGTAAGGGAACTGTGCCTGTCGGAAGGGGCAGCATGAGGATGGTGCCTGATGAGGGTCAGGGCTTTCCTCAAAGCAGTTTTCCAGAACATTCTTTCTGCTCCAGCTTGAATCAACCACATGCATGCTTGTCCCTCAGCTCCTGACTCCCTCAGTGACAGTTAGAGACGGTGTCCCCGGCCACACACTGTAAGAGGTGGAAGGGACAAGTGTCTCCTTTGTAGGTCAGTTTGTAGGGCATTTTCACATGGGGTTACTGTCCCGTTTTCACAAGAGAGGGTGGAGATGGAGAGTGACCCGCTCTGAGTGCGGCCATAGAGGGCACAGTCAGAGATATGATGGGGCTTTTGGACAAGCGGCTTCAAAAGGTCATTAGGACATTTGAGTCCTGATGGCCAGTCTCCACACATGCAGCAAATGAACCACCGACAACAAGAACCCAGCTTGAGCAGAGCGAGTACTGATCAGAGAGCTGGACTGGCTTCAGGAACAGCGGGATCCAGGAGCTCAGGCCCAGCCACTGAGGACGCCTGTGCCCCGAGCACTGTAGGTGCAGACATTACAGAGGGCTCGATGTCCTTCTTCTGGCCTCAGGGGCAGCCCATGGCCGTTCCTGGACAGCCAGCCATGATTAACGGGCTGAAGCTGGGAACTGAAGGACAAGGGGTGAGTCCCCCGAGGAAGGAGGTGCAGCTGAGCAGATGCTGTCAAGTCCTGACCACGAGCACCCCTGTGGATCAGAGCGGAACTCGCTCCACTGGGCTTTCAAAAGCTGGTTTTTCCTGAAGCAGACCGCCAGGCCTTGCTTCTGAGGTGCTTGAGGGTGGACTTGAACTTCTAATCTTTCAGTTAGTAGTTGAGTGTGTATTAACCATTTGCACCCCAGGGGACCTCAGACCCGGTGTAGAAAGGACGACTGTTACTGATGTCTTCCTGTGTGCCAGGCCCAGGCTAAGCATGTTATCTGCTGCCACATTTTAGTTTTGAGATAACTCCAACTTGCAGATGTTACTAGTTCGTCTGCACACATGTAGGGGCCCTGGTGGTGCAGTGCTTAAAGGATTAGACTGCTGAGTAAAAGCCTGGCAGTTGGACCCCACCAACTGCCCCAGCTGATACGTTAGCCTTCTTCTGTGAAGATGACAGTCTCAGAAATTACCAGGCTGTTCCGCTCTGTGCTGTGAGGCTGCTATGAGGTGGGCTCAATTGGGTGATAATGGGCTTGATTTGGGGGTACAGATGAGGAAACAGAGGTTAGGGGCTTCGGCTGAAGTCGCAGTGGCCCCAGCTCCGGGGCGAGCCTGTGCTAACTCAAGGCCCATGAGACGTAACGACCGCTCACTCCCTCTGGATTGCTCAGTGGAGAGTCCTCTGTGGGTGACATCCTCGCCCGGCCCAGAGAAGCTGAGGGGTAACGAGGTGTTTCCCCCTCCCTGCTCTGTGTCTGCAGAGGACGTCTTTGATGAATTATTTAAGCTGGCTCCCGAGAAAGTGAGCGCTGTGAAGGAGGTAACATGTCAAAGCTCTGGGCTCCCTCCACTTGCCCGGCCCCCCACCTGTCTGGACCCTCCACCTGCCCGGCCCCCACCTGCCCACTGCCCTCCCCACCTACCAGGGCCCCCCACCTGCCCACTGTCCCCCGCTCCACCTGATCTCCCACCTGCCTACTGTCTCACCACCTGCCTGGCCTGCCACCCGGCCACCCACCTGTCTGGACCCCCCACCTGCCCAGCCCCCACCTGCCCCTGACCCCCTGCCTGCCCACTGCCCCTCCACCCACCAGCCTGTGCTTGGCGTGGGGAGGAACAGGGGAAAGGATTGGCTCTCTTGCACCTGCTGTGCTGACTGCTGGGCTGGGGCGCTGCCTTGTGAGGTGCCACGTACCAGGGTACAAACCCCATCCTGCTTCCTCCTGGACAGGTTATTGTGGCCTTCGTCAACCAGAAGCTGGACCGCCTGGGGCTGTCTGTGCAGAGTCTGGACACCCAGGTATGGACTCCACATCGAGGTCCTTGGCTGGGGAGAGGCTGAAGGTACAAGAGAGGAGTGTGTCCTGCTCTGAGTGGTCAACACACCGTGTGGCCGGGACTGGCCACCTCTCGGAGCCATGGGGTCCTCCCTGCCAGTAGGGTGTCATTGGCAGGGCACCTCGTCCATCAAGAAACCATGGGGTCCCTTGAGTTGGGGACTACTGGCACCCTTTACAAAGGTGGGGTATCATCTACCCTCTAATCGTTTTCTGGTACTGTAAAGCAAAAGGCCCTTTTTCAGCAGGTGTGGTCGGGAGGGAATCGCACCGTTGACCCAGAGTCTTCCGGAGGTTTGAACTCACGGGTGGTTCCGTGGGAGAAAGATGGGCAGTCTCCTTCCGGGTAATTTACACGCTCAAAAGCTCGCTGAGGGTCACCTCTGAGCTGGATCCAACTTGATGGCAATGGATTTGAGGAATATTGTTGCTGTTATTCTGAGGGAGCTCTGGTGGCTTAGAGGTAAAAAGTTGCACTGCCAGCCCAAAGGCCCACAGTTCAAATCCACCAACTGCTCCATGCGAGAAAGGTGGGCAATCTCTTCCTGTGCATTTACTGGCTCTGAAAAATCTTCTGACAGTCAGCGACAGGTCTGTCCCGACTTGAGGGTACACAACAACAACAACAACAACAACAACATGGTGAATCTTAGACTATTAGATGCCAAGACTCGAAGGAAGGAGACTCCCCGGGGTCAACACACAGGCTTGGGGTGGGGGCAGCTCTCCAGTCTGGACAGGGCAGTGCTGTAAGGTACCCCCTGGACTCTGAGCTTGGCTCCTGATGAGCAGGGTGACCGGGAGGTTGGGGGTGAGGGAGGTCCCAGGCGGTCAGCTCAGCCTGCTGGCCACAGGCTTCCGTGGTCACACTTGTTATGCACTTTCTTTGACCACTTGTTATGGTCTTTGTTCGCTTTTGACACAGGAGGGTGCAGAAGTGGGGAGACCTGCTCCAGCGTGGGGTCTCTGAGGCAGGGGCAGAGGCCGATGGACCCCAGGTAGCTTCCACCAGGCACAGTTTGGGTGTCAGAGGCCTGGGGCTTCATGCAGCAAGGGTCATCCCAGGAGGCCAGATGACCCGTGGCCCCCAGACCCTGCACACCTCCTCACTGTCATCTATGCCGACTCTTAGCTGGCCTCCAGTGGGCTTTCTGAGACTGCAAATCTCACGAGACGAGGTTCCCCATCTTCTGGTGATGGATTTGGACCAATAGTGAGGCACCACATTTGGGATAGCGGCACAGCTCCCCACAGTCCAGGCACCCAGAACGCTGGCCACTAGCCAGCGGTCAGCCAGTGGTGAGTGTGGAGTTGCTGTACTCACAGCCCAGCAGTGAAACCATTGCACCCTCACTGTGCCTGGTGGTGCAGTAGTTAAGCACTTAGCTGCCAACCCAGAGATTCCTAGTTCGAACCCACCTGGCGCTCTCCCTGAGAAGGTTGAGGTGTCTCCAGACACCCTGGGGGAGGGGCAGCGCTCTCTGCACCACCCTGCGGGGTCACTGTGCATCCGAATAGGCCCGGTTTCAGTCTAGAGGAGTAAAGGAAATGTTTTTTTTTTTTTTCATTTCTGTTCTCGTCCCTCTGTTCTGTCTCCCTTGGAAAATGATGGGACTTGGAGAATAATGAGCCACGCGGGGCTGGTATTTCGTGACAGCTGATGAAAGGGCACGTTGAGGCCTAGGCGTGCGCGGGTATTAGCAGGAGAAGCTCTCGGCTCAAACCAATCGCACTGGAACAGACCTAATAGCAGCAAATTCCATTAAGGACTCGAAGAGGCGGTTGTCTCCCAATATCCAATCTTGTGTTTTGTATCTTTGAAGAGATTCAGTGGGATTATATTAGCATGTGGAATGCCGGTGGTGGGGCCTGCGCTTTATCTGCGAGCACACGCACAGAGCGGAAATATCCATCCTGGCGACAAACGCCAGCCGCCGTGCTGTTCCCACTGCCCTTCTCGGGGGTAGGGGTCTTTCACACACACGCATCTCTTCTCCTGTGTTCATGTAGATTCTGGGACAGTCTGTGGTTTGAAAAGGTGGTATGAGGCTGTTTCCAAGAAAATGTCCATTCTCTGTTGAACTGTGGTGTGGGGGACGGTCCCACCCGGGGCCTGGTGTGATGAGGGGGATGGTCCCACCAGGGTCCTGGTGTGATGAGGGGGACGGTCCCATCTGGGGCCTGGTGTGGTATGGGGGATGGTCCCACCCGGGGCCTAGTGTGATGAGGGGGACGGTCCCACCTGGGGCCTGGTGTGGTAAGAGGGATGGTCCCACCCAGGGCCTGATGTGATGAGAGGTATGGTCCCACCTGGGGCCTGGTGTGGTGAGAGGGATGGTCCCACGTGGGGCCTGGTGTGATGAGGGGGACGGTCCCACCTGGGGCCTGGTGCACAGCAGCAGTTCAGTACCAAGGATCGCCATCCCACCATGTGACATCACTCAGCTCCCCTCCCCTGGGCATCTCCCATTCCTGCCTCCCTCCCTCCTCTCCCGTCCTGGCACCTGCACTTTGTTCTGGTCCTGGGAGTGGCCGATGGTACTAAGAACTGCCCATCTCTCTAGCGCCACTGCTCCCCTTAGAAACTGTCTGTATTTTGGTTAAAAAATGGAGCCAACAGGGCGACTTCTATTTTGAGCATGAAGTGTGGCTGGGGCCTAGCGTCCTGGGACCTCGCCTGTTTGTCTGCCCAGCAAGCCTGGCCTTTTTGGGTTGTTGTGTTTTGTTTCCTGTTCTCTCCTGCTATCCAGGACCGCCTTTTGTGATCCCTTTCAGCGCAGTAGCCTGGCACCATCTACCCTTCCGGCCCCAGGAGAATGGAATCTGGGGTTCGAGGGGCTCACTCAAACTTGGGCTCCTTTGACTGTCTCCTGCTGTCCAGATCGTCCTCACTCTGCTTTGCACCAAGCTGTTACTGTTATTACATGCCGTTGAGTCGACTTCAACTCATAGAAACCTGACTCACAGCAACCTGAGGAACAACACATAATCGCACTTTCGATGACTGCTTGCTCATGAGCTTTTAAAACACCAGCCATTCAGAGCAATTTTAAAAATAGTTGTTTACTGAGCACGTACTACGTTCCAGGCAGACCATCCTGCCCTGGACCTCCTGCTGCTGTCGGTGACACGGCTGCCAGCTCGGGATTTGGCCCCACTTCTCAGAACAGGACTGGTGGCTCAGAGAGGTCAGGCTCCTGCCTCAGGACACACAGCCTGTGATGTTTAAGGGGCCCTGCGCCCAGCACCTCCTTCTTCTCTAGTTCGCAGACGGAGTCTTCCTGCTCCTGCTCATCGGACAGCTGCAAGGCTTCTTCCTGCATTTGAAGGAATTCTACCTCACGCCCAGCTCTCCGGCTGAAATGGTACGTCTCCCCAGATCATTCTCAATGATTTGTCTCCAGAATGGGCAGCCGTGTGGAGCTGGCGCTGAGAGACCAGATGCCGCGCAGTCGATTCTGAGTCCTGGGGACCCCAGGGGTGATAGAGTAGGACTCCACTGGACTCTCAGTGGCTGACTGCGTGGAAATCTCCAGACCTTTATTCTGCAGCACCTCTGGCTGGGCACAAACGTCCAGCCTTTCTATTAGCAACCAAACAGGGACTCGGGAATAGGTATGAATGACCAGGCATGATGTCGGGCACTCTGGTGGCTCAGTGGTAAAGGATTGTGTTGCCAACACAAACGTGTGCATGCTCTGGGGGAGAAGGATGGGCGCTCTCCTCCCTTGTGAGCGTGTGATTTACTGCCTTTGAAAACCCACTGGACGGTCAGCTGCAGGCTGGTTTGGACTCGATGGTACAAACAACAGCAGCTGTGATTTATTCACCTCCACGGAGAGGGAGAGGTGAGGGACAGGTGTGTTCACTCACTAGTCTGTCTTACCATCACCTGCCCACCCATCCATCTGCCTGCTTGTGCATCACGCACCTGCCTAGCCACCTGCTAGGTGTAGAGTGTCACCATCCAGGAAGGGATGCCGGGGGCAGGTTGAGGACAGGCTGGACTGCTGGGCAGCTGCTGTCCATGCACACTGGTCCCTGAGGTCTGCTCACGTCTCTGGGGCAGAAAGGACTCTTCCTCACATCTCAACGGGGGTGTTTGCTGAAGGGTGGGGAAGTGGCTGCCATTCCCAGGGGCTCTGAAGTCTGGGACAGGGGCAGGCCCCAGCGGAGCGCCCCAGGAGCCCCTTAGCCTGAGTCCAGGTGTGAAGCTCTATGCCCAGTGCCCAACTCCAGCTGGTCTACACTGGCCCCACTAGCCTCCCCCACCCTGGCATCCCCTCAATACCCACCCTACCCTGTCCAGGAGGTGCCCTGAACCCCTGGTATCTTCCCTGGACTCCCAGAGTTTGAACAGCCTGCCCATCCCCACTACCCACCCCTCCTCTGAGCACAGGCCCGTGGACACCATCCTGTTTGTCACCCCCTTAATCATGGCTCTCTCATGAGCTCTTGAAGTTAACTACCTACCCCTACCCCCACCTGTCTGTCAGCTTGTTTCCTCCTCATTCCACACACCTAAGGGGGCATGGCTGCGACCATGTCCCCATTTCACAGAGGGGCAAGCTTGATGGAGTCTGACCCCCGGGCCTTCCTGCCTCTACCGTCTGCTGTCCCCCTGGACGCGGGGTGCTCCTGGCCGGAAGGTAGATCAGGGCTGCGATTCCTTAAGAGCAGGTTGTTGGCAGAGGGGGAGCCGGGCCCAAGCAGCACGTGTTTGTGGTGCTGTTAGTCGCAGGGCAGGGCCAGCACCTTGGGGCTCTGTCGTGGCCATCTGGGGCTCTGCACCCAAAGCCCCTCAAGCGGGAGCCTGTCAGGAACAGAAACTTGTTTCCTCACTAATCTCGAAGCTGACTCTAGGCCTTGGGCTTCAGAAAAGGTCAGCTCTGGGGGCCAAGTCTGCGGGAGTTGTGTTGCTAAACTATAGGCCCCATTTCTCTGGCACTGAAGATACCAGCGGCGCCAAGGCGAGGAGACGGGCACCTCCTCTCATGCTGTTTACAGCCTCAGAACACCAAGGGTGGGCAACCAGGAGTCCGCGTGGATGCGATGGCAGTGTCTGTGTTTCACGGAGGGTGGATGGCCCGGTAAGAAGGTAGACACGGACTTACATTTGTTTACTTACCAGCCTGCAGTGAGCAGGTTCACTGTGAATTTCATGCTGAAATTGTCCACCATTGTTATCATTGTTGGGTCCCATTGAGTCAGAACTGACCTGTAGTTGACCCTTCAAAGGGTTTTCAGAAGCAGTAAATTGTGTAGGAGTGGATGGCCAGTCTTCCTCCCATGGAGTGGATCGTGGATTCGAACTCTATACCTTTGCGTTGGCAGCACGAATCCTTACCACTAAGCCACCAGCGCTTAACAGACAGGAAGTGAAGGTGATTTGTTTGGGGGATTTCACTGAGGATCCGTTCACGACTGACGGGTCAGCCTGTGATTTCCTTGTCTCTGGGCGCTCGGTCCCTGCTGGAAACGGGAAACGCAGCTTAGGCTCTGGGAACGGGCTGCAGTTCAGGGCCGGTGGACAGACGGAGACCTTGTGGCGGGGTCTCTGATGTGGTGAAAGAGTGAGCAGGCTGGGTGTGCCTTCTTACATAGTACGTCAGTTAATGGAAAGCTCGGCTGTTCAAATCTCCCAGCTGCTCCTTGGAAGATGCCTGAGGCAGTTTGCTCCAGCCTTGTAAACTGTGGGAGGGTTGCTATGAGTTGAACTTGACTTAATGACAGTAGATTTGGGTCCTTGCTTTCTGGATAATCTGTCCCTGATCAAGGAACCTTGGTGGTGCTGAAGGCTAAGCATTGGGTGGACTAAGCAAAAGTCCAATGGTTTGAATCCACCAGCTGCTCTGAGGGAGAACGATGACGCTGTCGTGTCCATAGAGATGACAGCCTCGGACACCCTATGGGGCAGCTCCCCTGCATCCTCCCAGGGCTACTGTCAGCCGGAATCACCTTGACAACAGCAGGCTCTCAGCGCCTGGCCAGCCCAGGGTGCTCAGCTGCTCCTCCACACTCTCCTTCCGGCACCCCGGGGAGGCCGGGGGCAGTGAGCCTCCCTCCAGCCAGGAAGAAGGCCTGCCTCGGCCTACTGGTTATTAGGTACGTTCCACTCAGAGATGCAGCGGCCCCTGGGGCTTAGTGGAAAAGAGCTGCACCCCAGCCCGAAGGCAGGTGGTTTGAATGAACCAGCTGCTCTGGTGGAGGTGGGGCTAAGATGAGCAGTCAACTCCCGTGTGATTTACTGCCTCTAAAAACCCACTGGAGGGTCAGCTATGAGTCGGTTCTGACTTAGTGGTCTTAGAGTGGGTGCAGCCGGAGTGGTCTTTGGAAGCAAGAACGAGGAGGCTTCGTCTCACATACTTTGGGCATGTTGCTAGGAGGCGCTATTCCTTGGAGAAGAACAAGATGCAGGGAAGGGTGGAGGGTCAGCGAAGGAGAGGAAGGCCCTCAACCAGGTGGATTGACACGGTGACTGCTGCAATGGGCTCTAGTGTGTCTGGAAGTGTGAGGATGGCACGGGATAGAGCGTGGTTCGGATGTGTTGTTTATCGGGTTGCTGTGAGTTGTATTTAACGATACCTAACAACAATCCAGCAATGTGAACACATTCTTGGATGGAAGATTATTATCAGATGCTGTCCAATGTTCCCAACTCATGATGACCCTGAGAACAATCGGGTCACACTTTTGTGGATCTAAGAGTTTTCATTAGCTGATCTTTAGAAATGGATCGCCAGGCCTTTCTTCCTGGTCTGTCTTAAGCTGGCAGCTCCACTGACACGTGTCAACATCACAGCAACACACAAGCCTCTACTGGCCGATCAGGGGTGACTGTGATTCAAAGATGTTGACTGGGAATTGAACTCGGGTCTTTTGCATGGTGGGAGAGAATTCTACCACTGAGCCATCACAGAGGGAGGGCTCAGGAAAGGGCACGGCTGAGAGCAGACTGCTGGCCCCATGCTCCAAGGTGGGAGATTGAATGGGGAGTTGTGGGGGAGAGGGCAGGGGGGCCAAGTGGGCAGGGGGGGGATAATGTGGGGCCTCTGTCAAGAGCTTGGGTCTGGGCTTGGACAGTCCGGATCCTGCTCTGTTACTAGGGCCTTGGGGCTCACAGGACCCACAGTCTGTCCTCCACATTTTGCATGCTGGGAGCTCTGGTGGCCTAGTGCTAAGAAGCTGTGCTGCAATCCCAAAGGCACACGGTTCTAATCCACCAGGTGCTCTGCAGAAGGATGGACAGTCTCCTGTGAGATTTACTGCCTCTAAAACCCTGCTGGAGGGTCACCTATGAGTCTATTATAACTAGATGGCATATAACAACAACAATAACTAGTCCCTCAGTTGCAAGCTGGGGACAGATGTCCAGATGCTTACAGCCAACTCTCAGAACCCACTGCCCTCAGACCCTGCTTCCAAACAGGTGTTCAGACGGGGTTATGCTCAGCCGCCTCGCTCAGGCCTCTGGGAATGTCTGCCTCTGTGCTGGGGAGACCGCAGCTGTGGAGTTCTCTAACAGAGGTGTTGAGAGACCATTAGCGCAGGAGAGTGGGGACGCAGGCCTTCCGCTGGGGTTCAGACAGGGCTGTTAGCCTAGCAGAGCTGGCCTCGGAACTGGGTTTCTCATTACACCCTGTCAGCAGTGTTTACAGGAGATTGTCAGAGGCGAGGGTGGAGAGAGAGAGAGACAGAGAGGAGCGGCTTGCTCTGTAGAAATCAAAGGCTGAGCTGGAATCTTGGGCTTCCTCCCACACGCAATTATTTTCTTCCAGGAGGATTAGATCCGGCCTCCGCGGGCGAGACCTGCCCTTGGCTCTAGGGACGTGCTCCCTCGCCTTCCTCATCTCAAACCCTGCACTGGAGAAAGTGAGGTTTTGTGCAGAACACGGCCAGGCAACCCTCGTCGGTCTGTCCTTGGCGGTTCATGCATTTCTGTGATCCTGGGGGCCGTGCCACCATGGGCATGGCAAATAACAACAGGGTCACGCCACGGGGCAGGGTTTCAGAGGGACTCCCAGGAGGGCTGGTGACAAGGGCACATTCACTAGTAGGCATGGTGATGGAGAAGAGTGCTGAACGTCCCTCGGACGGCCAAAAGACCAAACAGGTGTCTTGGAGAAGGTGCAGCCAGAGTGCTCCTTGGAGGCAAAGATGACGAAGCTTCATCTCACCTACTTTGGGCACGTTGCTAGGGGAGGCTGTTCCTTGGAGAGGCACATGCTTGGGAAGGTGGAGGGGCAGAGAAAGGGAGGAAGACCCTCAACCAGGTGGGTCAAAACACAGTGGCGGCAGCAATGGCTGGAGTGTGTCGTTGATGGTGAGGACAGCACAGGACAGGACAGGGTTCAGATCTGCTGCTCACAGTCGCTGTGCGTCGTTACTTGACGGCGTCTAACACAACCACAACCTGGGCCCACAGGCTCCCTCAGTAATCCACAGGGTGGCACTGGGTTTTGCCTGCAGGGAGCAGCTTTCCACAGATACCACCTTTGGTTCAGGTTGAGACGTGACAAAGAAGCTGTGGCCATCACCTTCATCATGTCCGTGAGCCAGTTCCCAAAGCATAAAGTCCACAAGGACAAGGAGTAGGATTCCTTTGTCCCCTTTCCAGACTCAGTCATAGTGGACCTTGTTACAGGCCGGGTGCTCCAGAGAAACAAAATCAGGGGATGCTTGTTATAGGTGAACACGTCCCCACTGCCACTGAATCCCTTCTGACTCAGCACCCGCCAGCAGGTTTCAGAGGTTGTACCTTTACAACAGGTGACCATCCATCCTTCTCCTGAGAAACAGCTGGTGGCTTCAAACTAATGTGCTACAAGCTATGCCACCTTGGCTCCTTGTAAATGTGTACAGAGGGGAAACAGCCCAAAGTGTTGTGGAGTCGAGCAAGTCCCAAGTCTGTGGGTCAGGTGTCAGGCTGGAGGCTTCTCCTGGCTCGTGAAGCCGGAGGGCTGATATATCCATAGTGGGCAGGTCAGATGGCAGACTGCTGGCTCACAGACCAAGAATGAGAGGTGAAAGGATAATGAATTTGATCCAGGATGAGAACCAGTTTGCCCAAACTAGGGCTTTGAATCAGTTTCTTTTGGTTCACTCTCTGCTGAGGATCTGTATTTCCACCCAAGATATGAATGAGCTCATTGAAACCTCTGGCCAGAACATCCACACATATTGGACGCAGACCCCAGCCCAGGGAAACTTCCCATTCAGTTGGCTGGCCAGATCACAGGGGGAGAATGACTGCATTGAATCTTCCCAACACCTGAGAATCATGGCTCCATTATGTTGACCCATGGCCTTTACCCATCACAATGAACGGACAGAGTGTTTCTGAAACACTGGTCCCATGACAAGAGCAATGACAGGACTTTCCACGTCAAGTTCCTCGGGCAGACACCACAGTCCTGCGGGTCCACCACACTGTGGCAGATCAAGGCTTGTCTTGTCGTCTTGTGGGTACAGTTCAGAGGTGAAATATCGGTGGGAGTTTGGGTTGGCAACTGGCTGGGGTACAAACGGAAGTCACAGATGATGAGATGTGTGGTGACACATGGGGACAGGAGCTTGTGCTCGGGGTACTTCACCTTGCAGACATGTGATGACCTTGGCCTTGTAGGTTCACAACGTCACCCTGGCCCTGGAGCTGCTGAAGGATGACGGTCTGCTCAACTACCCTGTCAACCCAGAAGGTCAGTGAGAGCGTGGATGTGTGCAGGCCACCTTGACCTGAGCTGGGAAGAACAAAGCCAAGGGCTGAATGACCACAAACTCTCAGTGGTTCCACCCAAAGTCCTGTACTATTCCCATAATCACGACCCTTCAGAACCTCTCCCAGGGGTTGTATCAATTCCATGATCCCCCTTCAGGACCTCCCCTGGCCCTCCTCCATCTATGGTCATCCCACCTCCAACACCCCAGGTTCCCACACATCCTCAGTGACCCTCAGTGACCCACAGGAAGCAGCCCTTGAGTTGGAGGGGTGGGGCCTAGAATTCTACAAGAGAGGTGTAGAGGAGACCGGGGTGGGTGGAGCGGGGAGGCAGGGTTGAGAGGCACTGCTTAGACTCAGTTCTAGCCTGACCCACCTGTCCTGCTCTGCCAGTGTTCTCCTGGCTTTCACTCTCAAGAGCCTGTGTGTCCACGCAAACCAGGGCTGACCACCCTCCCAGCTTGACCCACCGCCTGTCCCCTCTGGTCCACAGACATCGTGAACAAGGACACCAAGAGCACGCTGCGGGTACTTTACAGCCTGTTCTGCAGGCACAAGCTGAGAGAGAGCCCGGATGGGATGCCCCACGGAGATCCAAAGTAACCGATGGACTTCAGAGAGCTGTTCCGCAAGGCCTGGCTGCCCAGCCCAGCTGGGGCCTCACCATCCACCTGCCCTCTGGCTCCTCCCTTCTCTATGCCTGTCACACTCTGCCCCATCGTGGTCCTGTTCCCACTGAACCCCCTTGATTTGAATCTGGTTGAGTCGTCTCACCTTATTTCAACAATTGTATTTCTAGGAGAGATTTGATTTGGAAGCCCGCATAGATATGGTCTAACCCGCCAAGCTTTCCCCACTTCTTCCTCAATGGCCCCTCTTTCCTCAGTGGCCCCTCCTTTCTCCAGGGCTGGACTTGGAAGATTCTCAGCCCCTTCTTACTGGGCTGGGTCAGCCAAGGACCTACAAGACCGACCTCACCAGAGGCTTCAGGATGTGGCTTTGTGAAGCAGGACAGGGCTTTGTGATTTCAAGGCTGGTGGCCAAGACCCCAGCCTCCTCGCTTCAGCTGAGTGCTGTCCTCATCTCTCTCTCTCAGGGTTCTGGGCCCTGGAATGACCATCTAAAGGCAGGGGTTTGCTTGGTTCCAAAGTCAGGGCCCTGAGTGATCCCCATCAGGGATTCGGTGACTCGTCAAAGGAACTGTGGCCCAGGCCAGCTCCAAAGGTTGTGGCTGGGAGTTTCGCCCCAGCACCAGGAGAAAGGCTGATGAGTGATTGGCTGGTGTGTTCCATCACCTCCCTGCTGTCCCTGAGAGCCCCTGTCTCACTCTCCAGTCAGATGTGGGATCTCTGCAAACATTCCCCAGAGGACTAGTGAGTGAGTGAGGAGGGAAAATACCTGCTGTTTGAAGGGAGGCAGGTGGGAGGAAATGAGTGAGCAGGGGTGAGGTCCTGGGAGGAGAGGCCGGTACCTGCTGGCTGGCTATTCTACCCAGACTCCTCTCTGCTTCCACTTCTGCTGATTCCATGATGGAGATAACAGGGTTTGGCATGGTTCCATTTGTAAGCCTGCCTTGGGGATAGGGAGCCCCAGTGGCGCCTGGTGCCGTGGTAAAATTAATAAAATATAAGTATAGAAAAAAAAAACAAGAAAAAAAAAAACCCAAAAACGTTCCTCAAAGTCAGTTCCACCTGCAGCCCCCTGGCCCAGGAAGCCATTGATATGTGGTCTCTCTCTATTAAAAAACAAATCCCTGAATAATTTAAAAGCGATAGAGTCCACAATTAAGGTTGCATAGTGGAATGTACTTGGGGCGGTGGGAGGGGTGCGGGGGGATTGTGTACCAGGGAGGGAGTCTTACTTTTGAAAGAGAGGCGCGAACTGGGGGGCAGGGGGAGAGGGCTGTGCGGGGAGAGAAGTGCAGCAATGAATGAATGGAAATCCAAATTCTCTGTAAATGTTCATTAAAATTATATATATAAAGTAAGGATTAAAAAAACAAAAAACAAAAGAAACAAAACAAAACAAAAATCCCCTCCCAACCCACAACAACCAGGAAAACAAACTCATTACCGTTGAGTGGGAACCAATTCATAGCTGATCCTGCAGCAGATTTTCTAAAGGCTGTGAAGGGCCTGGGAAGAGATTGCCCAGCTTCGTCCAGAGGCGCTGCTCGTGGACTTGACCTGGACAGGAGAGCTGCCTCTGAGTTAGCATTTGCTCCAGTTTCTGATAAACAGTGTCATAGACTATGTCTCAGCTTTCTAGATGGCTCTAACAAACAGGATTTTATTATCTCTGTTTAGGAGCCTAGAAGCTCAAATTCAAGGTCTATCTGTGGGGGAAGGAGGCTTTCTGCCTCTGTCTCTCCTGGTTCTAGAGGTTTCCCAGCACAGGAGTCTGGATCTAAAGGAAGCACTCAGCAGCTAGCTCTTCTTTCTTGGTGATAGTTATAGTCCTCCTTCTTGCCCCTCAAATCTCCTTTTATCTTTTCTGAGACAGGAAGTGATGCTGGCCACATCCCGGAAGTCCTGCGTCAGGTGGATGTACATGGAATACAGGGAAGGTGTAGAGGAATGCATGCATCTGTGTGTCTGTAGGGATGCACGCTCCACTGAGTTGCTTCTGACCACGTACAGTCAGAATTTGGGGCATTTGTGTGTGTCTGTGACAGTGGTGTTTTTCTCTCTTGTGGGATCTCTGACGGCTTATTCAGGAGCCCCCAGAGCGCTCTCTCTCTCTCTCTCTCTCTCATAGCGACCCTATGTACAACAGCCCTAAACCCTGCTCTATTCTGTGCCAATCTTACTGTCTCTGATACACTACCCCCATTACCCCAGTCACTGAATCAATCCATCTCATCAAGGGCCTTCCTTTCCTGTGCTGTTCCTCCACCCTCCCAAGCATGATGTCCCTCTCCAAGGACTGGTCCCTCCTTGCAACTTGCCCAGAGTATGTCAGATGAAGCTTCAGAATCCTTGACTCCAAGGAGCAGCCTGGCTTCACCTTCTCCAGGACAAATCTGTTTGTTTTCTTGGCAGTCCATGGTATATTCAACACTCTTCTCCAGCACCACAGCTCAAAGGCATCAATTCTCCTTCTGTCCTCCCTAGTCATTGTCCAGCTCTCTGATGCATAACAAGTAATTGCAAAGACCATGGCCTGTATCAGGTGCACCTTAGTCTGCAGATGGACATCATTGTTCTTCAGTACTTTAGAAAGGTCTCTAAGTGCAGACTTTCCCATCACAGTAGGTCTTTTAATTTCCTGGTGCTAAGAGTGTTGATTGTGGAACCAAGCAAACTAGGGGGCACAATTACAGAAATTGCTTAGAAATCCCCAAACTCATTGCCGTCAAGTCAAAATCAACTCATAACTGACCCATCACTGGTTTTCCAAGGCTGTAAATTGCATGGAAGGAGACAGCTCATCTTTCTCCCACAGGGCTGCTGGTGGATTTGAACTGCCAAAGAGGGTCTCACTGGGCCATCAGAGCTCCCTAAGAAACAGCTTAGCTAGATTCACATGGTTCATATTGAGTTACAGAGCATGAATACGAACAACCATGGTCTTGGAGGACGTCTAGGTTCATTGGCGGAACAAAGTTCATTAAGCTAATATTCTACATCATAGTTTGATGAGTAGCATCTGTGTCTTCACAGCTTGTGAGCAGTCATCCAAGATGTCACTAACCACTGGTCTCCTCTCATCTGGAGCAAAAGAGAATGAAAAAATGCAAAGACTCAGGAAGGAAGGAGACCACGGGACTCACAAGGGTCTTCTACGTGAGACCAGAAGAGCTAGGTGGTGCCCAACTGTCACTACTGACCACTCTGACACAGTCCATGGTCCTGGTTAGAGTGGGAGGAAAACATAGACCAAAACTCAAGTTCATAAAAAACCCAGACTTGGCCTTTCTACGAAGACGGTGCCGAAAGCAAAGAAGGAAGCCCCTGCCCTTCCCAAAACTGAAGCCAAAGCAAAGGCATTAAAGGCCAAGAAGGCGTCCTGAAGGGCATCCACAGCCAAAAAAAAAAAAAAAAGATCCGCACGTCACCCACTTTCCGGCACCCTGAGATGCTGAGACTCTGAAGGCAGCCCAGATACCCCCGGAAGAGTTCCCTCAGGAGAAACAAGCTTGACCACTGTGCCATCATCAAATTTCCCCTGACCACTGAGTCAGCCATGAAGAAGATAGAGATAACAACACACTTGTGTTCATTGTGGATGTCAAGGCCAACAAGCACCAAATCAAACAAGCTGTAAAGAAGCTCTATGACATTGATGTGGTCAAGGTCAACACTTTGATTAGGCCTGATGGAGAGAAGAAGGCCTATGTTCAACTTGCTCCTGCCTATGATGCTTTGGATGTTGTCAACAAAATTGGGATCATCTAAACTGAGTCCAGCTGGCTAATTCTAAACACAAATTTTTCTCACCAAACAAACAAAAACACAAGTCCTAACCTTGTGTCCTAAGACTAATGTCCTAAAGACTTGTGTCCTAAGATGCCCTTTTAACCTGGGTTAAAGCCACTCCCAAAGGTCACCTTTTAGTGGAGAAACAGGTTGACTAACAGAGTAAACACTAGCACCCTTGAAGAATGTGCTCCTTAGTGTCAAACCAAGTGGGCGATGCTCACCCAAAGGTAAGGTGAAAAGGCACAGAAGGTCAAGGAGGCAGGATGGAGACCAGAAAACAACTCTTGGTCATCCAGCTGGAACCGACTCAATACTCACAGCTGACTGACTCTCCAGCAGGTTCTTGGAGGCTATAAGTCACAGAGGAGGAGATTGCCCATCTTAATCCGCATCGGCAGCTGGTGGATTTGAACCATCTGCTTTTGGGTTAGAATCACAGCTCTTTCTCCACTTGGCCATCAGTGCTCCCTACGCAACAGGAAAGGCAGGGTGGAGAAGGGGGGGAGTGTTGATGTACTTTAGGGTGACAATAAACAATTTGTATATGGCAACCTTGTTTGCTGTATGAATTTTCCCCCTAAAACACCATAAGATATATTTTTAAAGGAAGTTTAGAATTTTTGCCCTTATATTTAGATGTATGATAAAAGTTAATTTTTAGGGGAGCTCTGGTGGCCTAGTGGCAAGAAGCTGCAACTACAATCCCAGAGGTGCACGGTTCGAATCCATCAGATGCTCTGCCGGGGAAGGAGGGGCAATCTCCTCCTGTACCAGTCAGATCTGATTTGACGGTACACGCACACAAAAATAATAAAATTTTTTAAAAAAGTTAATTTTTATATATAAGGTGAGATAGAGATAAATTTGTTTGTTTGTTTTTCTTTTTTATATACCTGGATATTAGAGGGTCAATGAAAGAGAGATGAATTCAAGGAGATGAATTGACACAGTGATGGCAACAATGAGCTTGAATGTGGTGGAGATAGTAATGGCGGCACAGGATAGGGCAAGGTTCAGATTTGTTGTTCATTGGGTCACTATGAGTCCTGGTCAAGTCAACGGCACTTAACGGCAACACTCATATAGATGGTAATCGTTTCCAGACTACTTGCTATGAAGATTGTCCTCTCCTTGTTTTCCAGATCACTTGACCTATTTGTAAAAAAAATCAATTTATAATTT